CGCCAGGATGTCCGGAATCGTCAGCGTGCGAACGACCGCCGCTAGATCCTGGCGCCGCGTAAACAAGTACGTTTCAGCTGAAATTTCGCTCCAAAAACGAGAGCATTCTTCCGATGCCGCCTTGGGCTTGTCCAAGAGCGCGTCGACGACGGCTTGGAGGTTTTTCTACATCATAGCCACGCCCGTCAACACAGGATGTTGCTCCTTGTCACTTGGCAAGCAACGACACACCTGAAACTCGTCATGGGAGAGTGCCGCAATGTCGCGCCGCACGAGCTTCAAGAACGCTTCGATGCTGCGCTCGACGTACGCTGGCGACGCCACGTCCGACTGCACAATGATCCGAAAGTACTCGATCCCGTGCGCGCGGTGGGAGCTGCTAAAGACAATGTAGCCGAGCTGCTCCTGCGTGCGCAGTTGGTTGAAGCACGGTTCACGCACGAGTTGGGCAAACACTTCGTTCGTCGCGCGCAAGTGAATGGATTCTGGGCCAAGCTGGAACACAGTATAGATTCCGCTGTTGACGCTCTCGGCGTTCAGTTCGGGAATCGCATACACGTACTCGGCAGGCGATGCCAGTTTGATCGCGCGGGTCTTGACTCGCTGCGATGGAATCACGGGCCTACCGACCGCACACACGCTCGCGTCACCACCCAGTCATGCCAGGATGCGGCAAGGGCAGTCGCATCAACAAATAAACAGCAGACTGAATCCATCATTGCCATCTGGACAGACTCACATCCATCGCCCATCGTGAAACACACGCCATGAACGAAGCATTGAGTGCAGCACGCAAGTTACCTTGCCTGGACGGTTGCCAGCACGTTATCCAGGAGCGCCGTCGTCGTGGCGGCATCCACGTTACCATGGTAGTACGCTTCGACAAAGAGCTCGCGGAAGAGCGCGGCTGCGTGGTGGACGAGATCGGCGCGAGTGACGTGGGCGATCGCGGCAGCCTTTTCCGTGACGGTCCACTTGGTGTCTTCCAGCAGACACGAGCTAAAGTAGAGCGCGTGTTTGTACGGGTCGTCGCGCTCAAAGTTGTCGTAGCTGCGTTTCGTCTTGTCCTGCAGTCGCCCAAACGTCTCGTTGTCCACGTCAAACTGCACGATTTGCTTGAGAATCAAGTCGAACAGGACAGGGAGCTTGTCGCTGTAGCCGCCGCCGTACAGCTCCACCGCCGTCGTGGTAAAGCTCAAAGAGTATCGCATGCCGGCCAGCTCGGCGTCGTACGTGAACTCGGTCAACTGATCCTTGATGGCGCGGACGAGGAGGTCCGTGAGGACAACGGATGTTGGGCTGTTGTAAATGACGGGCGAGTGGAAGGCGAGACAAATGTTGAGCTTGGGTTTGAAAAACGTGGTGTCGGTTTTGACCCACAGCCGCGCCGCTGCATCGTCCCGCAAAAGAATCGGGACGGCGCCGGGGGTGGCCGTCGCGACCAGGTCAAAGTTGTGTGGGATGAATGCGTTCGGGTGGGGGCAGAAGAGTGCGGCAGATCGCGCCGGGTTGGACCATCGCTCAATCAAACTGGGTTCGATCGGCGTGTCTGAGTACGCCGTCTCATACCACGGCTCGACGTCTGTCGTCGTGCCCTCAAACTCCTTGCCGACCACGAGCAAGCGCATGCGGTCGGGCGTCAAGAGCGAAAAAATCGACTTGACTTGAATGGGGTCGTACTCGTACAGGAGCGAGCTTCCGGCCACGATGTGCTGTACGGGGTACAGCTGCATCCGCGTCGCGAGGGCCGTCGCGTAGTTCATTGGCGTTTCCTTGGAACGGAATCGAAAGTTCATGAGCGCGATGCTCTGGGTCTCTTCAAACACCCATGGCGCAATCCCGTCGGTTTGCAAGAGATGCAAATACTGATAAATCGAGTCCACGATCTCATCGACATGCGCCATCCCGACTTCCGTCGCCTCGACCTCGACGCAAAACAAACTCCAGTCGTCGTACTCCTTCATGAGCCCCGCCGACAGCTCATTGACCCATTTCTGGCGCTTCAAGAGAGATAGCAGCGACCCTACATTTTGGCGTGCATGACCCGATGGCATGTCAGAAGGAAGACAACCACGCACCAGAGCCTTCGTGGCCAAGCAAGTGAGAGATTAAGCTCGTGGGCTTTTGGAGGTAAGACGACCGCAGTGATGGCAACGGCCACGACACTTCGATCGACCGGTGATCCTTGACCGGCACGACATTTACTCGCCGCTGAAGCTGCGGCCCTTCGAACGGGACGCCTTCGTAGTGGAACGTCTTGTCGCCCGTGTCGAGAATCTCGCTGAACTTGGACCGGGCCCACTCTTCCAGCGTGTCTAAATCTTCTTTTCCAACAATCGCAAGCTTCATGATACGGGCGGAATAGTACTTTGCATGGAATGCAAGCAGCTCGGCGCGGACCTGCGACGTGCATGAACGAGGAGAATGAGAAACAAGGCAATCCCTACCACTTCGGTGGGCGCTGTTCCGAGTGTGACGAGATTCCCCGTGCCAAACTTATGAAACGGATGGCGCCGACTCGATGTGTGCTTGACGATTTGGTCGACGCGCCACGGGTCGCTCTGGAGGTTCTTGTTGTTCTCAGAGTTGACTGCGTTCATCTCGCGCTCTGTTGCCCCAGGGGTGAAGAGCGGGGCGATGAAAAACTGGGCGAATCGATCCAGTGCTTCTTCAAAGTACGGCGGGCGAACGTCAAAGTAGTAGTTGGTGTCCGTGCCGCTCGTGTACGCATTCGAGCTGCCACCGTGGGCACTTAGGAACTGCGAGTACGAGTTCTCGTCGGGGTACTTCTTCGTGCCCATGAACAGCATGTGTTCAAGAAAGTGGGCAAGCCCCAACAGGTTGTCGGGGTCGCTCTGATGGCCCACACGCACGTCCATCGCCGCTGCCGACTTTTCCGCTTCGCTGTCCGACACTAAAAGCACGCACAGGCCGTTTTCCAGACGCACATGGCGGTAGTCTCGCTCGTCTCCTGCCGAGATGTCGATGCCGCCCTTCTGACGGACGCTCTTCTCCATCGTCGTGCAGCTGAACAATTCGTTTGTGCGGTGGAGTATCCGGATAGTGTGAGTCCAGTATGATATCCGGATATCTACTTTTTCAACACCCATGCGACGATATCGTAGCGACGGCAGCGGTCGTCGGTTGATGGAGCCCCTCGACGAAGACAGGAGAATGTGAAGTGGGCGAATTACTACTGCCCGACTTAGAGATGGAGTGCTGATGTATGCGCAATAGTACAAGCACCACCGTGAGGATGTGGCTGCTTCTCAGTCAACTTTCCTGCCTGGTACGTCACGCAGCGGTGGAGTCGGGATGTGGTAACAGCTTCACTACCATCTCCCAACGCCACCATGAAGAAGACAGAGGGAGAAATTGCGGCATCGCATCTCAACGGTTCGTCGTACATTAACTCGCTGCATGGATCGAGCGCGGACGAGCATGGTCGCGTGGTAAAAAGATAATTCGCCGCTACACCAACAAGCTCCATGCGTGGCGTTCACATGCACATCCTGCATCTAGTCGCATATTGCATAGAGCTTTGAATGTCCGATGTCCATGGCGAACACACATCGATGGCAAAGATCTGGTCACCTCCGGCATGACACGCCACATGCGACGTTGCCCGCAGGCGATGGTCTCTCGCACAGCGAGGGTGGACGGCGAGGTGGCGTGCACTTGTCGAGGTCGTCATGATGCGTTTATTGCTCCATCTTTCTCTTCCGAAACCGCACACATCGAAACGGTCGCGTGGATTCCAGGAGTGCCATGCGACGGCCAAGTGCATCGGGCGGTCCGTTCATGGACACACCGCTTCTTCCTCTGGAGAAAGTAGCGCTCGAGCGAAGCGTGTCGTCGCCGGCAAACAAGCAGACGGCGAAATCGATCTTGTTTGGCGCGTCGCATGGATCGCCGACGAAGCTGCATGCCGTCGCCTCTTCCAACGACATGTATCCGTTCGGGCGGCAGAATCCATTTGAGACGGAATTTGTCGACCATGTGGTTGTGGCCGAGGGCGGCTTTGGGAAAGTGTTCAAGTGCCGATCCAAGATCGACAACCGGCAGTACGCCGTCAAAGTCGAGCAGGTGCACTTCACCCCGAAAGCCATCTTCAACCCCAACGAGATCCGGGAAACGATCCTGCGCGAGGTGCATTTGCTCGCTGGCCTCGACCACGAGCACGTGTGTCGGTATTACAACACATGGATCTTTGGAAAGCTCGTGTCGACGGGCCGACCCGACTCGGCCAAGAGCAGTACCGCCAACGCCGACGACGATCGATCCAACGAGTCGTTCGGGTGGTCTCACAACGCGCATGGACCAGCCGAGAACCAACACGTGCCGTTCGAATCGTCCGCGTCGTCGTGTTCCTCGACGTCGTCGTCCATGTGTGGGTTTTCCTTCGACCGATCGCCACTGGACGCAATCGACGGCGATGCTCCCCCAACTCCAGAGACACATCCATCCCGCGCGATTTCACCGCGCTCGAATTTGTCGCTGCAAATAGACGTGTACATTCAAATGGCCCTCTACCACGGCAACTCCCTTCAGCATTGGCTCGTCGAGCGGCAGTCCATCGACGTTAACGCAAACTTGACCATCTTCCGACAGATCGTGGCCGGCCTCAAGTACATCCATGGTCAAGGCTTGATTCACCGCGACATCAAGCCAGCCAACATCTTGCTCACGCAGGACGCATGTGTCAAGATCGGGGATTTTGGGCTAGCCACGGATGGCCGCATCGAGGCGTCGGCGGCGGGGGTCGGGACACCTCTGTACAGCAGCCCGGAACAGACGCGCGGCGACATGTGCAGCTCCAAATCGGACGTGTTTAGCCTTGGCCTCGTCCTGTGCGAGCTGTTTTGCAACTTTTCAACTCAAATGGAAAAACATGTCACCCTCATGCAAGTGCGCGACCCCGACGGCGCCGTTCCCGCCTGTGTGCCAGTCGAAATTGCAGCCGTCGTCAAACAACTCGTCCACCCCGACCCAGCTCGTCGACCGTCGTGCGCCGACATCGAACTCATGGACGAAGTCATGCCATTTCTTCTATGCCCTCAACCCCCCATGATTACCTCAGACAAGCAAGCTCAATACGGTGCCAGCAGCCAACGGCGCTCTACGATGGAGAATGACCAAGAAGCCGGGGTCCCCGTGGCCCCGCTACTCGCTCCATTGGACCACGTCGTCCACTCACTACTGGACGAACTGGACGCCCTTGAAGCAAGGCAACATGCGGTGCTGCGGCTCGCCGAGAAAGCAGCGTGGGTGGACGAAGCGTTGGCAATGTCGGATCGAAAGCTCCAAGTTCTCGCGGCCCTGCATCAGGCCGTGGGGCGAGGCCAAATTTCATCGATGAAGAGCGCTTTTGTTACATAATGAACTCCTCTACGCCTACTGCGCACCGGTGTCGTAGCTGCGTGTGGTGAACTTTTCCTTCGTGTGATTGTTAATGTTATCACGAGCAGCTGCCTTGCATCTGCATCCAAATTTTGACCAGACAGTGTTGTGCAGGTGGTCGCATAGCTCCTCCGGGCTACAATCTGTGCTCCTGTAGTTTGGCTTTTGCACTGACGCTCACGTATGTCCATGGGGCAAGGCCATCGCACCCCGTGCCGCCGCAAGCGTGGCAGATGAGGCCGTTTCGAGGTATTTTTGGAGCGCCCCGCCGCAGATCACAGTGAGCCGAACCGAGTTGCACGTGGGCCCCGGCAGAGCAGCATGAAGGAAAGAGCAGTGCCAGGGATGTTTGGCAAGGCGAAACCCCTTCCAGGGCAGCAAGGCTACAAAGTCAAAGAATCCGAGCGACTCGAACATGAAGCGTTGCAGATGGAGGCCCAGCTCAAACAGGTCAAGGTGAGCATGGCGCAGCAGCAGGCGCAGCGCGAAAAAGATCATTCCAAGATGAAGGGCGGAAATCGATGGCGAAGTGCGCGCGAAGACCGGGGAAGTGTCCGGCAGTATGCGCAGGACGTCAAGACAAAAGTTCCTTCCAAGGCAAAGAAAGCATCCAAGAAAGGAGAAAGTGGGGGGCAGCTCACAGCTAGTCGCTGTGTCGTCGCCGATTGGACCGTTCCACAGGTGACTGAATGGCTGGCATCGATCCGCCTAGGCCATCTTGCATCGACGTTCGAATTCAACGAAGTCAACGGTGCAGTCGTGCTAGACTTGACCCCAGCCGACTTGGACTACCTGCAAGTGACCGAGTCAAGCGAACGAAAGGCATTATTACAGCAAATTGAACAGCTCAAGCGCAGCAGCAGCAGCGGTAGGGGAGGCATCGCCACAAACAACCAGCAGAATCACGTCCAGCAACGAGAAGTTGTGGACAACAAACTCCATGACGCTCCGCTGGCATTGCCCCCGAAAAAAGTCGCACATTGGTCGCAGTTGACGCCGTTAGCCGAATCAGGGACAGGTCGTCCGTCTGGCGAAGTGCCAGTGAACTTGGCCGACGGAGATTTCAACGAAGACGACAGCCATGCGTCCTTCTTGAAGGCGCTGCTGGACTGGCGGGCGTCTGACCAACAGAGAGCGGATGAAGGGGCCAAGGACGGCGACGACGACACACTATTCTGGACAAATCCGCTGGCCGATATCGCCCCCACACCGCCCCTCCTTGGAGGAAAGCTCCTGAGTGGTGACTTCGATGAAGAACAGAGCCATGCAAACTTTTTGCAAGCATTGCAGGCATGGCGAGGAAACGACCCGCCTGCGAACCAACACCGGCCAGAGCAGGCCACCGCGAGCACAGGGAGTCCCGTGGAAGCAAAGGCAAGTTGTTGGCAGTGCTATCGGTTGTACAAGGCGGGGTGTGTTGTTCAGGACGAAGTATCAAAGCACGCGTTTTGCTCTCGACCATGTCTGGACAAATATCTCAAGGAGTATGCTCGATTTTACAGATCTGTGGCCGACATCGTAGTGTAGCGTCAGTCGTTCAAAACGTTAAGGCTTCTTCTTCTTTGGGGCATTTTGCGCCGCCATCGTCGACGCGAGCTGTTTGACAGTCGTGCGGTCCATGAGCGCCCCGGTTCCATCCTCCGACGGGCCTGCCACAACCGCGCGACTCAAGCAGTCGTGAAGAGGCAATGCCAGGCAGTACCTTTGTCCTTGCCCTTCTTGGAAACAACTCCTGGCGCCATCGACGATCCTTCCACGATCTTGCCCGTTCCTGTGGCTGACGAGCCTTTTGTCCAGTGCTCCTTGGGGCGAATTCGGATATTGTATGGAGACGTGACGTCTCCAGGGGCCAGCGACTAGAACGAAATGTGTGCCTCCATCCCAACAACCCTCGACAGAGTGAGACGGCCGAGTTACCGTGAGAGGGGAAGGAGCTGCATGCCCTGCAGGGCTACCGTTGCCACCCGACGCTCCTGCCTGATGCTAGTGGTCAAAGCAACGGAGTCGAATACATGCTCTTACCTCGTCCGTGGCTGGAGCAGTCAAGTCTGGGATGATTTGTAAGAGCTCCTTCTCGACCGCTTGCAACGCGTCTTGAATTGCGTGAATGTTGTCGACGTCGACGGTCTTTCCAGTCACTTGGGCCACAATTTGAAGGATTCCTGCTTTCACCGGCTGCATCATTTGGTGCATGTACTCGTACTCTTCCCGGGCTTTGTGCATCGCCTTTTCCGCAGCGACAAGGTCGTCTTGGGCGTCTTGCAAGTCACGATCGCTCGATCTCACCGTGCCCAACTGCGACTGCTGCAGTTCGGCTTTGACTTCGTCCTACAAGGAAGCGCAACGAGGACGAGGAGTCGGAGGTTTTCCCGTCCGTGCGGTCGTTGCTAGAACGTACGATTCGTGAATTGGTCGCGGCCAAGATCTGAACCTGCTCAGCTTGTCGCTGGAGTAACTCTTGCTTTAAAGTGTCGTGGGTCCCGCACATCGCAATGATCTGCGCCGGGTCGACGACGCCCCGAGGCACCCCCAGGCGAAGAAATGCGTCTTTGTTTCTGTGTGAAAAATGAAGCGTGATCTCTGTGTTCAGATGGTTGTTACGTACTGCTGCTCTTTGCGCGACGCGACCTCGTATTCCACAGCTGTCATCGCTTGCTTCCAGTGCTTGGACGATTGTTTCCTGTCCATTTGCATCTTCCTCTTGTCTGCGGCAGGGCTGTGCACCTTGGACACCGACGTTGCCGCCGCCGCCGCGCTCACTACCTACGCTTGCCATGGGCGAGGATGGGGTGTGGCTCGGTACGAACCTGGTTCGCGTAAAACGACTCAAACTTGGTCTTTTCTTTAATCCAACGTTGGCGGAGGTGCAGCTCTGTCTCGTACAACCGAATATCCGCCGCAATGTCGGCTTTGAGCTGGACAAGTCGCGTCTACGTCCGGGTTGTGAGGTGACGAAAGAGGAATCGAATCCATGAACCTGGACTTGGTTCAGAGATTCACTCGCCGACAGCTCGACGCGGTGGCATTCTTGCAAGCGTTGCTGTTTTTCCCGGAGTTCTTGCGTCAGGTCGGCTTTGGCTTTCAGCAGCTGCGCTTTCTCCATCTATCAAGGCGGGTCAGCCTGCCTTCTTCGGAGGAAATGCTGGGACGCGCACCTCGTGCCGCTTCTTGATGTGGTCATATGTGAGGGTCTTGCGCATGACGGCAATCGTGTCGACGACTTTTAGCCGCAACTGTTCCTCCAACACGCGAATGTTCTAAGCCAGGACGACTCCATGTGGACATTGCTTGCGACGTTGTTGGAGTCGTTACCGTCTTCTTGGCGTACAGCGGCCGTCGACTCACGGACGAAATGGACTCGAGACGCTCGGACGGGTCTGGAAACTCGTTCATGCCGAGCGCGGCGCAGTCGGCCCGCAGATCCCGCAGCGCCAACTTGAGTTTGTCCAGCTCGTCGCGCTTCTTCTCGGCGGTGTACTTGAGTTTGTCGCACTCGGATCGCTTGCCGTCGACGACTTTTCGAACGGCTCCTTCAAAATCCTTGATCAGGTCGGCGCTCGAGCTCGTCTTGCGTCGATTCCGGTTCACGATGTCGGCGATTTTCATGTGGCCACTTGGCGCCTTCAACGGACTCGCGCGATCGTCACCGACGACCGGCGACGCGACGTCCGCAGCGGAACCTGGCCGAGGACCCAGTTTGGCGAGGCCGGGCGCTTTCGCGCATCCCGCCGTGTTGGGTCGCCTATCGTCTTGGGTCATCTTCCAACTGGAACGTGCCAGTTTCATGAACTCAATCGAACCGTTTCCGCGGTGCCTTCGATCCATCCAAATCGTCATGCGCCCATCCATCTGTGTTTGTGTCGTGGGCTGGCCATGCACCATGCAGCGCCGCAATATGATGTGGTAACTTGTGCCTTGCGATCCATCCGCTGGAACTTTCTGCCGTGACGGCGACTGTGTATTTTGTCTGCTAGGCGCGACAAGTGGCGTCGGAATAAACGCAAACGTGTGCTCTAACGACAGACCCGAAGGAAAGGCACGCTGCATGGGCCGATTTGCGCAGCTGACTGGTCCAATGCAGTGCTCGCTGCCTGCTGCCATTCAAGGCGAGAGGCTACAAGGAACAATACGTGTCCATTCATGCACAGCTCCATCTCTAGCGTGGTCGAAGGCGTTGAGGCTACGGTCGAGTTTGCATGACAACCACACGGTCGATGCCTTGAACGTCTTGAACGACCATTCGATCCAACCGAGTGCTTTGGATAAAGGAGGCGCCTTTGTACAAGTCGACGACTCGTGCGGCCTGGGCAAAGCCCACTTCAAACAGGACGTGGCCTCCAGGGCGAAGCAATTGGTCGCGCAGGGGGCTCCGGAGGACGCTGTACAGGGCAAGGCCATCGTGGTCGGCAAACAAGGCCAAGTGCGGCTCGTGAAGGACGACTACGATTCCAACCTCCATGATATGACACAGCTGGCGCCGAACCAGCGAGAAACGTGTACCATGTGCATCCATCCATGGCACTTCGTCCATGGAAATGTACGGCGGGTTGCAAAGAACCACGTCAAAGGGAGGTGTGGCCCAATGCAACGTCATGTCGCGGTCGAACCGCCGCATGTCCTGCTCGATGCAGATCATTCGCGAAGCCATGCCATGCGTGTCGGCATTGTGTCGAGCGACTTGTAGCGCTGCCGGCGATATGTCGATGGCCACGCCGGTGGCATTCGGAAACTCGGCGAGGGCAGCCACGATGAGACAACCCGTGCCAGTGCCAATGTCCAAAATACGAAGCGGGTCGTCCTTGGTATGCAAGTTCTACCACGAAAACGCCATTGTGAAGGGGATCGCAGCCGAGATGGAAACGTGCGTACGAGCAACGTGTCGATCAAGAGCTCAGAGTCGGGACGCGGGATGAGGGTGTCCTTGGTCACTTTGAATGGAAGGGACCAAAACTCTTTAACCCCCGTGACGTACGCGAGTGGCTCGCCGGCCAGTCGGCGGCTCGTCAAGTCCTCCAGGCGCTGGCTTTCAGCGGGCGTCAACTACGTAGGATGGCAAACATCATCACGCGCCACCTCGCTAAAACAGATTGGACGAACGAGCTTGTCAGGATGCAAGAACAGGCTTTCCCTCGAAAGAGGTGGGTCGTGCGCGTGTGCCACGAGCACGTTAATGTCGCTGGCGGCAACTCCTCGCTGTGCCAACCGCCTCCTGGCGCGGCGGATTGTGCTCAGCCACCGTCGCGACTGCATCCGCTAGCTTGTGATGTCCCATTGGCCCAACAACGACAGCAGTAGCCAATCGCAGGCAACTAGTTTTCGGACGCCGAGATGGAAGCGCCCGGACGTTGTGCAGTCCCGCGACTACAATCCATGCCCACCACCTTACGGGGAGGTGGTGGTGGTGGTAGCCGCTGCCGTCGCCGCACGGGCGTCCATTTACTTCTCCGTACCTGTAAGAATTCGCATGGACGACGCTCGATGAAATGTATCAACGAGCGGCTTGGACGCCACGACAACGACTCCAAGTCCCGCGCGTCATGAAGCGAAGGTGTGAAATCAACGGACTGAACGACTAGCCAAGGCCATCCACGCGCCATGTCAGGCAACTGGAAGGACGACGACATGGTGTGTTGAATGGTGTCCAAGTGCATCGTTGTACAAGGACCTCGTCGGAGTCAAGGAGGAAATCGGCCGAGCGCCCCCCCCTGCAATGGCGTGTGGGCGCGCTGTCTACATGGCCTTGAGGCCTAGGCTGGCAAAACCCAATGCTGGCACCGTCACTTGGTTGATAGACTCGTCGTTGACACAGTCCTGTCGCAGCAGTGCCCGTCGCTGCATCCATCCAAAGCTGTCCCTCATGAACAGATCGCTCCGATGCAATGAACACGGGGAAAAGGATCACTGTTCGACTTGCTTCTCTTGCGCATCATCCACATTCAAGTTTTGAAAGAAGCGATCGATGAGGGCGAGGCCAACGACGGGTTGGTCCACAGGCACGCCATGGCCAGAGTTGAACACACGGACAAAGGTCAAGTTGGCCGCCGACTGGACATGGCCAGCCTTCTCTCCACCCACAATCAAATCGTTCACAGGTGCGGCATTGTACGCAGCATGGCCAGGCCACTCGAGCGCTCGCGTCCACACTTCGATTCCGATCCAGTTGCACATCAAGTCGGCGTCGCCAGCATATAGCAAGACGCGGACGCCGCTGGCTAGGATGGGCGGGAAGAAATGCGTGACCGACATGGCCGTATCAGCGGAGAACTCCATCGCGACCGTCCCGTTGTTCCAGGTGTACGGCTTCTTGACTCCCAATTGAGCTTGGATCGACGGCATGTTGAGATAGAGACCGGTCTTGGCCATCCCGTGGTCGTTGCAGATGGGGGCGCATACTTCGCGGACGTCGTACACGCTGCGCGGTGGGTTGGTTACCATGGGCTGGACGAGCTTGCCCTCCCACATCGCCAGCACTGTCTTGCACGTGCGCTCGTCATGAGTGGCGTCGCACGCACGACAGGCCGCATCGACCAACTCGACATTTTGTTTCATTTGAACCATCTCGGCATCCGACACGAGCGAAATGTTGTACTGGTTGGCAACGGAGGCTACCATGTCGACGGCCGTCGGGCATTGAATAGTCGCATCCATCCACCCATTGCCAATCACAATTCCGTGCAAGTTGATGCCAATTAAGTCGACCTGGTGGGTCACGATGTAGTGCGCGACGGCAGGGACGTAGTGGCCCCCGTAGCTCTGTCCCGTCACGAAGAACGGCCGCGATGCATACGACGGATGCGCCTTCAACCACCCCCGCAAGAACTCGAACACGTTGCGACCAACGTCGTCCTCCGTCTGGTCGTCGTCTTGAGCGTCTCCGTACGAGAATCCGACGCCCGTGGGCTGATCGAGCCAGATCACGTTCGCGTGGTTGGTCCACGAGTGCGGGTTTGGCACGGTCGAGTTCAGGTCGTCGCCGATGAAGCACGGGCCGTTCATGTTGAACAGCGTCCAGGTCGAGGACGACCCAGGGCCGCCTTCGAGCCACAGCACGAGCGGGTCGTTGGCGGGATCGTTGCGCGACTCGAAGAACGAGTAGAAGTAGTGGTCGTTCACCTTGTGCGGCAGCTTGATGTAGCCAAACTCGTGGTGCACACTAGGGTCGCAGTACGACTTGTTGACGCCGCTGGGCGTGGCATGAAGAATCGTTGTGACGCTCGACTGGATGCTGTAGAAGACAGCAACAGCAATCCCGCCAACGGCGGCACCTGCAACCAGAAGGATGAAGCGCCAGGGCGAGGCCTTTCCGCGCGCGGGGTGCTGCAGGAGATGGGTGTGCTCTGTGGCTGCCATCGGCCTTGTGACCCAGATCAATCGACCAATGAGGAGGAAAGTTGGTGGCTACATGATCCGCTGGCATGTTGTCGTCCGAGAATGAGGCATCGATAGGTAGATTCATGGAATTCGGCGGCGCGGCAATCGGCGCGCTCGTGGCTGACTGGGCGTGGATGGCTGTTTTCACTATCGCCTGAGTGTGTCGTCTGTGATATGGCCTCGCTGACGTGTTAACAATTGCGACGATGTTGAAGGAGGACCAAGATGGAACCCAAGCACACTCAACGTGGATGCGGGGCTGTCCCACCGCCTCATCGTCACACGAAAGACGGATTCCACCATCCTTCGTGCGAAGGATGCGCGCATTTCATCCAGCGATCGTTTGACAGAATCTGCAGCAACAAGCCGGGGGCCCCCGTCCCCTTTCGACAGTGGGAGCAGTGCGTGTGGTTGTGGATTTGGCGAGCCCCCAAAGCAACGACCCCCGGTGTCGTTGACAACCACGTCATCGTTTGGGTCACATCTATCGGAAGGAGCCGCATGGACTGATCTTTCCACCTTTCAACCACCTGTCACGATAGCCTGTGCAGCCCTGGTCATTGCAATTGCCACGAGTGCCGTACGTTCCGAGTACGGTCCTCGACGCAGTTCCCGACCTCATACCCTCAAGCATCTACGATGAAGCCAGCCATCGTCGCTTCCTTCACTTACCTCGTTCGCGACCACCACCGACAACTGTCTCCGTGGTTTCATTTTGCCCCAGTGCCGCAGGCGTCTAACCAACGCTTGTGTCTAGCTCGAAGCGCGTGAAACGACACCCCACGAACCGATGTTTGCCTCGCGCTCGACATGTGCATCGGGTGCATTGGACCCCCCAACAATTGGTATCATATCGTTGTGGTTGTAGTGGCTTATTCGAATAGTGCGGGGCGAAAACGAATCGTCTCAGGGGCTTGTCGTGGGCATTCCCGCGTAGGCTTTATCCGCGTGCTAGGCCCCCCGGGCCCGTCTACAGCTACAGCTTTGGTCCGATGACGCCCTTCCAGCGTTCGCTCGATGGACTTTGCCTGACATGGACTTACACTCCGTTTTTTCCATGACATGCATTCTGCAAAGATTTGATTGTGCGTGCGATGACCACGAGCGCTTCGGCCATGGCACTCTTGGCACGTCCGCTGCTCAAACGGCCAGCACCAACACCATTCAACATCCTTCTTTGTGCCTTACGAAGATACCAGATCACCGCCGGATGCATCGTGTCCTTGTTTCTGGCCGGATGGATCGTTGCCATGTCCTCCGCAACCGCTCCGTCCAGGCATCGCACGACCGTCCCACCGACCACCGAGGCGTACTGCGACCCCAGTGTGCACCACGAGTTTGGCTACATCAAGCTGCCACACAAGGTGAACGACCACTACTTCTACTCGTTCTTCGAGTCGCGCAACGATCCCGCCAACGACCCACTCGTGCTGTGGCTCGAAGGCGGCCCTGGGTCGTCCTCGACCTGGACGCTGTTCAACATGAACGGCCCGTGCTTCATCGGCGACGACCTGAACTCGACCGTGCCAAACCCGCACTCGTGGACCAACCACGCGAACGTGATCTGGCTCGATCAGCCCACGGGCGTCGGATTCTCGTACGGAGACGCTCAAGACGACGACCAGACGGAGGACGACGTTGGTCGCAACGTGTTCGAGTTCTTGCGGGGGTGGTTGAAGGCGCATCCGTCGTATGCATCGCGGCCGTTCTTCGTGACGGGACAGAGCTACGGGGGCCACTACGTCCCCGCCGTCGCGCACTACATCGTGACCCACCAGACGTCTTCTCCATCAAACGATGCGTTCTGGATTAATTTGCAAGGGATTGCGATCGGCAATGGTTTCACCGACGCACCAATTCAAGGTCCCATGGTGGTGGAGATGGTCGAGTCCGTGCAGCGCCAGTACAACATCACGCTTGTCTCGTCGGGCGAGATGGTTGAATTGCGTCAACACGCCCGCGTCGTCGCGCGCTTACTGGAAGCATGCCAGCTCCCGAATGAAACACAAGCGTGCTTGGACGCCATGGACTTGCGCGACATGCATCTCGTGACCCCCATGGTCTCGAATCCTTCCCGCAACCCGTACGACGTTCGCGAACTGTGCAGTCCGAATTGCACAGACGTTGGGATGGCCAAGACTGGCAAGTACTTGAATCAGCCGTGGATTCAAGCTCGTTTGGGTGTCCACAAAACGTATGAGTGGAGCAACGACACCGTGTACGACATGTTTGCGGTCGACATTGGCAAATCCGCCATGCATTTCATCCCACGCGTGCTCGAGAGCGGCGTGCGCGTGTTGCTGTACGTGGGGGATGCTGACCTGATGTGCGACTGGAAAGGCAACGACGCGTGGACGAAGGCGATGAAATGGCCCGGCCAAGCTGCGTACAATGCGGCGCCGGTTCGAGATCTCGTGGTCAATGCCAAGCCAGTGGGCCAAATGCAATCGGCTCAGAACCTGACCTTTGTTCGAGTGTTTGAGGCAGGCCATGGCGTGCCCATCGACCAGCCACTCGTCGGTCTCGCGCTCATTCATCGTTTTTTCAATCATGGCGCGATGGACATAGCCACTGGAACTCGCCCCATCGAGACAATTGAGGATCCAGTTGTCGCAGGATAATATACTAAAAGAATAGACAAACGGTAGCAAAAATGATACAAGATTTAACATAAAAGAATGCAATGTGGAATTTAAAACAGAGCTGCCATTTAAACAAATCTCTGATGTACCTTTGTGTGACCAATCAAACGTCTTGATGCAGAAATTTTTATCCAATGAGTTCAATTCTTGCTCAGCCAAGACTCCACAGCAAACGCCATGTCGTCGCTACTCGCCGGCATCCGCTTTGGTGCGGCGTCCGACTCGGACGAGGGTTCCAGGAAGGACAAGAAGAAAAAGAAAGAATCAAAGAAGAAGGACTCCAAGTCGTCCTCGGGTCACAAGAAGAAGGTACTCCCCTACGCCATTATTGCTGGGTGCCGACTCTTTTGGTAGCACAAAGATAACGGTGCCAACGATGCAACGGGTGTACCTGCAACGTATCCGAGCATCCCCGCCGTGCCTCCATCCCTTCCACGGGACGAGTGGATGAACATGGTATCCCTTGGTCTTCTTGTGAATGATTCAACTCCAACTACAATTTGTAGGATTTCGTTAGCGGTCCTCCACGACCAAAGCAGTTGACACCGGAGGAGTCGCGTGCTGCTGCACTAGAAACGAAGAAGCAAGATGAGATCAACCGAGGTCTGCGTGAACCCCAGTCCGGGTTGTTGTATGGGTTGTACGACCCCAAGAACGGCTCCGCTCCAGTCGAGACCGCAATGGCTGCGCCTGTTGCAATGCCGAGCGTGGGCGATGGTGGCGCCAGCTGGAAACGAAAGATGCTTCAACGCGCAAAGCAAAAGGCTGCAGATACTGGGGAGCCACTCGAATCGGTCGTTCGAGGACAGTACGGGATGTCCTTGGCAGAGTTGGAAGCCCAGGCAGCTGTGGGCAGTTGCGCCGACAACGACTCGCACCTGCGATACAAACGCATTACGCCGCAACGCCGTCCCGAGGACAAACATAGCGGAAAAACATGCATTTCCAGAGGCGGGGACAAGAATATTATTTCCGGGTTTGCAACCCGCATGAAGTACACCAACCTGTCGACAGAAACCTTTCCTGGCGATGACTCTCGCGAGAAACGATCCCACGATGACGACGAAGACAGCGGTCCCATCGACTACTCGAAGCTCCCAGATGGCGAGGACAGGGGCGACAGAAGGTCAGACAAGCGGCCACGTCACCACAGCCGACGAGACATGTCGCCGAGCCAGCGACGTCGTAGCCGCAGCAGAAGCTCGGACCGACGAAGCTCCGACCACCGTCAGGACGATCTAAAACGCCCGCCTCGCAACGGCGCCCCCCGGCAGGACAAGACCTTTGTCAAGCCGGCCATGCCTCAAGTGACGGCAGCGCAGCAGGAAGAAGCCGCCCGGCGAAAAGCGTTTCTGTACCATCAGTCCGCTGGGTTGTTGTCGTCTACAGCTGCTACAACGCAGTCGGCCAGCAACTTCTCTACGGAACCAGCGTCTGCACCACGAGTCCTCGCGCCAGGAGCACCACCATCAGACGAACCTGTCGACTTGAACAAACTCGCGGCACAAGCGTTGCGGGCAAAGATGCGAGGCAATATGGTGCTGTTCGAGTCGCTGACCAAGCAAGTCAACGAAGCCGAGCATCAGCTCGCGACGATTGCCTCTGCTTCCACTGCACCACCCACAGCCAGGAAGCGACAAGCTCCCATCAAACCCCCCCGCGCAATGGTCCGGCCTCGGGAGACGGTGGAGTTGCCGCTCCGCCCCGAAGACAACCTCACGGGATCGAAGCAAGGCAAGCGCAAGCAGCCAGGGGAAGACATGAGTCTGGACGAGATGGTGCGCCAGGAAAAGACCGGTGAAGGCGACAGCCATATGGATGCCGTGTATGCGCGCAACATTGTGCGGTTGGGCGCTCGATACGAAGGGACTGAATTGTCTGCAGGGAAAAAAGGCGCTGCCAGTGGATTTGACGAGGATGAAACGGGGGATCTCGCGCTGAATCTGCATCAGTCGGCGGCATCCCGGTTGACGGAGAAAGCTTTGGTGGTTGCGTCCGATCGCGCCGCGCTCAGTGATCGCATGCAGTGGGATAAAGCTATGCAGAAGTGCAGGTATTGCCTCAAGAGCGACGGGTTCAAGGCCCACTTGGTCGTGTCCATGGCGCCGAATGCGTACTTAGCCCTTCCTGCTGCCTCGACAATCGTCGATCTGCAGTGCATAATCGTTCCTGTGGAGCACATTGCTTCCATGTCCGCGGCCGATGAAGCGGTCGATGCCGACGTCCGGCAATTCAAGGCGGTGCGTTTTCTCAACCGTGGCACCGTTCATGCCAACTCTCCTTGGAGGCATATCTCACTGCAGAATGATTGACTTGTAGGCGTTGGTGTCGATGGCTGCGTCGCAACACATGTCGATGCTCTTCCTCGAGCGCACCTTTGACGCGGGCCGCAAGAAACACACGGTGATTGAATGCGTACCGGTCCCGACGGACGTCGGCATGGACGCGCCCATGTTCTTCAAGCAAGCAATGCTCGAATGCGACGAGGAATGGTCGACGCACAAGAAAATTCTTGACTCAACTGGCAAAGGGATCAAGCGGACGGTCCCCTCGGTACGCCGCGGTGTTAGCTTGGAAGCGCTAACTTGACGGGACGCTGTAGAATTTTGCCTACTTCCACGTCGAGTGGGCTGGCCAGAACGAAGCCACAGGTGGGTATGCGCACATTATCGAAGACACAGCGCAGTTTCCAGTCGACTTTGGCCTGGACACAATCGCCGGGATGCTGGACGTGGACCCACCGCGGTACGGCAGGTACCATCCAAGCCTTGCCGCTGAAAGCGGCCGCGTCAAGTCGTTCCAGGCGGTGTGGCAGCCCTATGACTGGACCCAAACCGCTGCATAACACAATGTCTTGACTGAGTCCACGTGGCCGCTTCGATTTTCACTGCCGCTGATGTAACACACCACAGTGGTGGGGTCGAATTCTAATTGATGGGGAGTTGGCTATCGTGGATATGTGGAGGCGCTACCCATGGCGCTCTAACCGACTACAGTCGCCTAGGACGGTGTTAGCACAGCAGTGCTTTGACCAGCATGTCCTTGGTGTCTTGGCTATGGAAGGCTTGCGCAAGGAGTGCGCTCTGTCGGCACACATCTGAAGGCTTGAGATTGTAGTCACCGCTCGGCCTTTTTCTCTTGAGGCGGTTGACGACCTGGTGTGATGCAGACGACGACCGACACCGGCGGCGTCTCCACGCGAGCTGGAGAACACTAGCGGCGTGGTGCTTCGCATCAATTTCTTGCTGCAGGCGAAAGAGGCATTTGAGAGGTGTGCGCACCCGAATAAGGTGCGTCGCCATCGTGTGATGTTGGCGCAACCACGAAAAGTGGCGCATTGCACGTTGGATGGTGTGGGCGGCCATGTGTTTGACGTATTCGTCAAGGAATCGACTCCTGGTAACGACGACGCTCCACTGATCGTGCCATTCGGACGAGTCGTCCCAGCCAGTGCCGAGGGTATCTGCTTCACTTCCTTCGGTTTCTTGATCGCTGTCGACGTCGTCAGCAATCGAATGGAAACAGCATGCATGGCGGCGTTCTTGGAGGAGACGCATTGCGGTACGACCTGTGGGAATGAGAACGTGGGGTTGTGGCGACGTCGTCATGGCAAGATGCCTCGACAAATCTTGCGCCGATGGGGCCGTCGACGACGACGACAACAGGAACGCTGCAACGACTGCTTCCACGTTGGCGGTGAAGCGAGACATGACCTGGCGAAACTTCTCCCACGTCGAGTCCTGGTGCTGGCGCTTCTTGTGGGCACACATGACGCAAGTTGGCGAATGGAGCGGACGGTGGACGGGGTCGAGCTGCGACTCTGAGATCGAGTGATGCCACCGTGTCAACGTCTCCGTGCAAATTCCACATATCCTGGGCTCTGATTGGCCAAAAACTTATTATTCCAATGTTGCAGTTGGGCTCCAAGATCGGCGAAACGGTCTGGATATTACTGGTTTCAAGGCATTGGATTGGTGGATCTCGAAGTATTTTAGACCAATTCATCTTCACGATTCATGCAATTTTCGAGAAAGGCGACCGCGATCTTCATTCACCGTGCCAAGGGCAGCACGACGACAGCCAAGTCTCAAACGTTCCTCCAACAGCACGCATCATGACCGCCAAGACGACGACCTCTACAACCACCGGGACTCCTGGCGCCCTGAAGCAGCCCCCCGCGCTCTACTCGTGGTGCGACGCTTCCGCGGCGACGACAACACGCCGACCCGTGGTTCCCGTTCCAACTCGCGCGAACAAGCCGTCGGCACGGCCAATCCAGCGCCATACTCGACCCACGAAACAAGTTATGCCTCCGCGAAACGCGATGAAGCGACAGCAAGAAGCCATGGCTAATACACGAGCGACTATGTTGAACCGAAGTGGGGTGTCCCAGACTGTGACGGATACAATCATCCAAAAGGCCAAGTTCGCCTCGGCCTTCCTTGGTGTCGTGCCCAAGCTCATGTGAGCTCACTCCTCATTATGCCTGACAGCCCCTCTTCGAACAGATTGACCTCGAGGGGCATGCATGAACATCCATGCCTTCGTCTTACCTTATTGCCCTAATTTAACCCCACGTTTGCGATTCACTCTGTCTCGTGATACGAAGCACATGCCTGGTCACGGAAGCAGACGAGTGGACAAGTCGTGAGCTTGCTTCGCCCTCTTTGTTCGCCCAAATCGCCTTCCAGCCAGCCAATTCCTTCATGAGGCCCCGCTGTCGGCTGCAACGACCTCCCCTCCGTCCATGTCGTGCCACGCGTCCATCAACGGCCATCGCATGCATTGAATGTCTCAATATAGCTCAGGCCGGACCCATGACGTGGCTGCCGCTGCGTCTCTTCACACTCGTGTGTTCGCTACGGATCCGCTCTATCTTGCCTTACCAAGAGCTTGATCTGAATGCTTCAGGGTACAGCGACACGCAGCCAAACATGCACTCGCTGTGGTCGCGGCGGCAGCCACAGGCTCAACATCGAGGCCACCCCATTCGACCTGCCAGACTCGATGCTCTGCAAAGCTACAACCAAGCGCAAGAACGTTTCCATCCGCCACGGACAACCCTCCCACCTTCACCCGACCCAACTTGCTCTTGGGCGTTGCAACCTGGACCTTCGAAATCTTTCCGGATGAGACTTTGGTGCATGCATACAAAATCTAAATGAATTTTGGTCTGGGTCAAGGTGCAACAATAGACAGGAGATGCAGCGACGACCACAACGACCGCCCTTGTTGAGTCTGATCGTATTGAGGATTGTAAGATATGGATCATGATATCATGGCACTTCTCGTCGTATCGAATCCAAATTTCCCTCGGGACAATGGACCGGCACCCAATGGAACAGTGCCATGAGAGCGAAACACACCCAACGTCCGGTCAGCTGCTTGGCCGAACGACGAAGTGTGTGCTCAGTTGCATAGCTTGTGTGGCACCCACATTTGAATTCGCCTCCGCCGGCACTCGTCCACCGCCACCATGTCGTCCCGTGATGCCTCGTCGACTCGTGCTGGCCTCTACGAATGGTGCGACATTGCGGAGGTGGCAACGGCCCAGCGCAAGGCGTTCTCGCGCAAGATCAACTCGACCACGTCGCTGGCGTCCAAGGCGTTGAAGAAGGCCAAGAAGCAGGCGATGCCATCTACCCGCACCGCGTTTCGCCAACAGCATGAAGCCATGCAACGCCGCCACTCGTCCTTCCTCAAGTCATCCTCGTTGTCGTCGTCGTCGTCCCTCTTGTCGTCCGCCGCGAGCCGGTTCGAAGCGCATTTGAATAACGCGGTGTTTGCGCCGCAGCTTCCTCGCTTGCTCTAAGTCTCCCTCTGCATCACGTCCTGTGCTCCTCATCTACAAACACCTCAAGGACACCACAAGGTCGCTGTTGCTACTGTCTCGATGTATATTGTCACGCTCGAGTCGTTCCTCCATCCAATCGCATAAAAATATTTAACTAACGACGACCGTGCCATGACCCCCCAAACAAGCAATCGCAAGCTAAAGATAGTTGCTTGCCATCGCGCATGGTTCTGTGCCACTACCTGCTCATCGCCAGCGAAAACCGCCGCCAATTTCGCCGACGTGGGGGTACGTCGGCGAAAATCGCGATGGCCACGTAAAAATAGCCCTCAAAATGATCGACATGGCTGTGCAACGATCCCAAGACGCTGGCATTGTGTTTCAATCGCGCTGGTGCACGGAGTGGTGCCAGTGTTGAAGACCGACTGGCGGTCATGACGACAGCCCTTCAAGGCAATGCCCCGGTTGCCCCACACCCCCCCGCCGCCGAACGCGAGGCCGGTGGTCTGTCCAAAAAAGCCAAAGCTGGACGCACCAACTTGGTTTCGATCCGTCATCTCTTTCGATACGCGGATCGCACGGACGTCGTCTTGATGGGTATCGGGTCGGTAGCAGCTATTGCCACCGGCACAGCCCAGCCGCTTCGAGTCTTACTCTTTGGCAATGTTGTTACAACTTTTAATCCGGTCGATGGGGTGCGTCCTTCCGTCCGTGTGTCGATGGCCTGAAACGTTGGTGATGTAGGCATATGATCACATGCTTCACGAAGTTGCCAACATCTCGCTGAGCTTTCTCGCGATGGGGCTCGCTGTTGTCACGGCAGGGTTCATCCAAGTGGTTGCGTGGACCAACACGTCGACGCGGCAGTCGGAGCGCCTGCGGTCCGCATACATTGCCGGGATTCTCAAGCAAGATATTGGGTGGTTCGACGTAAGCAACCCGCAGTCGCTGTCTGCAGAAATCACCGAGTCAGTGCTGGTCATTCAAGACGGTATGGGGCGCAAGGTCGGCGACTGCTGGAACTGCATCTCGATGGCCGTCTCGGGTATCGCGATTGGATTCACGAGCGGGTGGAAGTTGTCGGCCGTCGTCGTGGCTTTCCTGCCCGTCCTTGTCGTTGGGCTCGCGTGCATGATGAAGACCACTGCTCGCGCCGTTCAGAACGCCATCAAAGTACGCATCGCCCGACGGCGTCACCACGCTCATAAAACACTTCTCGCTGTAGGCGTATGGCCAAGCCGGCGCCGTGGCGGAAGAAGCCCTGTCGAATATCCGCACCGTCCACGTCTTCAACTCGATTTCACCGACTGCCGCCAAATACAATGGTGCCCTGCACCTGGCAGAGGCGGCGGGAATCAAGAAAGGGCTCATGACCGGCCTTGGCGGCGGGTTTACGTTCATGATGATCTTCGCAACGTATGCAGTTGCGATCTCGTACGGAGCGGTGCTCGTGGCCACCGACAACTTGACGCAGCCAGCATGCACCAGCAACTGCTACGACGGCGGGAAAGTCCTCACGGTGTTCTTCGGCGTCATCATGGGGGCCATGGCACTGGGCCAGGCCAACCCAAGCATCGACGCAATTGTGTCGGCCCGGGCGGCTGCGTATACCGCGTACGGGACCATCGATCGACCGTCCAAGATCGACGCGCTGTCGATGGACGGCGCCACGTTGAGTTCAGTGGAGGGCCGCATCGAGTTGGTCGACGTCGAGTTCCACTACCCCTCGCGCCCCCACATTCCCGTATGCAAGGGATACAGTCTCACGATTGCAGCCGGCGAAAGAGTCGCCCTCGTTGGCCCGAGCGGCAGCGGGAAAAGCACGATTGTGTCGCTCGTGGAGCGGTTCTACGACCCCGTCCATGGCGTCGTCAAACTCGATGGGGTAGATGTGAAGATGCTCAGCGTGCGCTGGCTGCGGCAGCAGATCGGGCTCGTCGGCCAAGAACCATGTCTGTTTGCATCGTCAATTGCGGCCAACATCGCTTATGGCAAGCCCGGCGCGACGATTGACGAGATCCACGATGCAGCGAAGCGCGCAAACGCATTCGAGTTCATCCAGTCGTTTCCGCAGGGTTTTGATACCCTCGTGGGGGACCGCGGCGCGCAGTTGTCTGGCGGACAGAAGCAGCGCATCGCGATTGCCCGCGCCATTATCAAGAACCCTGCCATCTTGTTGCTAGACGAAGCCACGAGCGCGCTTGACACGGAGAGCGAGCGAATTGTCCAAGCATCGCTAGATGCGCTGCTGACCGACCGGAAGCGGACAACCATCATTATCGCCCACCGCCTCGCGACAATTCGAAACGCTGACCGCATCGTCGTCTTGAGCGAAGGCAAAGTTGTCGAGGACGGGACCCACGACCACTTGATGGCGATTGAAAATGGGCAGTACCGTCTGCTTGTGCAAGCTCAGTCGCGTGCGAGCCCCCGTAAGAAAGACATGGCTAAAACCACCGCTACACAAGATGGAGGTGACATCGCCAAGGGGTTCTTCCCTGAGTCGCCAACACAACATGCCGCGCCGATTCCAGTCACGGCCGACGACGATGCGCCTTCAACTGCGAGCGCCATGCCGTTACCCTTGGGTGGATCGCTTCGCGTGCCGTATGGCCGCATCTGGTCGATGAGTAGACCAGAGTGGGGCTACATGGTGGTAGGATCCTTGGGGTCGCTCGTGACAGGGGCAACATTTCCTTTGTGGGGCTACCTCCTGTCGAATTGCATCGTCCTTTTCTTCAACTTTCGGCTCACGGCGGACGAAATGAAGATGGAAGGACTCAAGTGGTCGATGTATTTCCTCATCCTTGGACTGGGGTACTGCGTCGGCAACGTCGCGCAGTCGTACGGCTTTTCCGTCGTGTCGGAGCGCCTGACGACGCGTTTGCGTGCGATGGGGTTTGCTGCGATGCTGCGACAAGAAGTGGGCTGGTACGACGCCCCTGAACATTCTGCCGGCGCGCTGCTCGCGAGTTTAAGCACGGACTGCGCTTTGATCCAAAAGATGTCGGCCGACTTACTCAAGAACGTGCTAAACGTGATTGTGTGCATGGTCATTGGGTTCTCGATTGCGTTCTACCACAGCTGGCAAATGACGCTTGCCCTCTTGGCGGTGTTTCCATTGATGGGGTTTGCGTCCAAGATGCGAGCCAAGTCGTTTAATCCGACCAAGGAAGAAGACAAGGAAGGCGACGTCAAGGCGGGCGCGGTACTCTCGGAAGCCATCGGGGCGATTCGCACGGTCGCTTCATTTGGTATGGAAGACGAAATTCAAGCGCAGTTCACAGCGCTGGTCGGGGCGGCAGCGACGGAGACCCGGCGCGCGGGCCTCTCGATGGGGCTAGTCTTCGGGCTTTCCCAAGCCATGATGTTCTTCGCGATGGCGTTCCTGTTTTGGTTTGGAGGCTACTTGATCAGCCACCACATCATTGTGTTCGGCGACATGTTTTCGGTACTCATGTCGCTCATGATGAGCAGCTTTGGCTTGGGCACTGCAACGCAAGCGCTGGGCGGGATGGGAAAAGCCAAGCAAGCCGCCGCCAACGTGTTCGCGATCGTCGACCGCGTCCCAACCATCCAAAGCGTCACAAACGAAGGCCAGACTTTGCCGTTGGTGGCGGGAAAAATTGAGTTTCAACACGTCCAATTTGCTTACCCCAGTCGTCCGCAGAGCTTGGTGTACAAGGACTACAACCTTGTGATCGAAGCCGGGACGACGGTCGCGCTCGTGGGGTCGAGCGGCAGTGGCAAGAGCACTGCCATTGGCTTGCTGGAGCGATTCTACGATCCCCTAGCGGGTCGAGTGCTGCTTGATGGCGTGGACATTCGCACATTGAACTTGACCTGGCTTCGAAGTCACATCTCGCTCGTGGGTCAAGAGCCTGTGCTGTTTGTGGGAACAATCGCGGACAACATTGCGACCGGCAAGCCGGGGGCGTCTCCAGCCGAGATCGAGGCAGCCGCGGTAATGGCCAACGCGCACGACTTTATCGAATTGTTCCCAGACAAATACACGACCCAAGTCGGCGATCGGGGGATTCAGGTACATGTTTCGTCAAGCTGTGCTTGGACGTGACTGACGGGAGCTGCGCTGTAGTTGTCGGGCGGGCAAAAGCAGCGCATTGCAATAGCAAGAGCCATCCTGCGGGATCCAGAAGTCCTCTTGCTTGACGAGGCCACGAGCGCTCTGGACAACGAAAGCGAACGCATTGTTCAAGCCAGTTTGGATGCACTCATGGAGATGAAGAAGCGGACGACAATCGTAGTTGCCCATCGGCTGACGATCATCCAAAGCGCCGACTTGATTGCCGTGGCCCACGAAGGGCGCATTGTCGAGCAAGGCACACACGACCAACTGCTGAACGTCCCGTCAGGGCTCTACCGAACACTCGTGGCGAGGCAGGTAGATGCGGCAGCAGTGTCAGAGTAGATGGGACTTGGTCGACCTGGTACAAAGACTTTTTCTTCCCTTCGATTTTGGCTGGCGCCGTTACGATGGCGACGTGTGAATTCCGAACAAGTGCATGCTGTCCCTTCAGGAGGCACCGAGGTCGTGCCATTGGCCGAGGGAGACGTTCGATTCTCGGTCCGCACGCCACACTCGTTTTCGACCAGTGCCATGGACGAGGCAGCGCCGCTCTTGTCCGTTCCAGCGGCATCCAGGCAGCGTGGCGGCAAACAACACGCCGCTCGATGGTACTGGATCGCTGGTGTGACCGCGGCTTGCTGTTTGTTCGCGTACGTGGCGCCATCGCCGTGGCAGCACCATCCCCAACGCACAATCTTTTGCGACTCTACTTACCACGAATCGGGGTACATCAAACTCCCACACAAAGCCAACGACCAGTACTTTTACTGGTTCTTCGAGTCGCGGGCGAGCCCGACGATGGACCCACTCGTCCTATGGCTTGAAGGCGGCCCTGGAACCTCGTCCATGTGGGCTCTCTTGAACGAAAACGGCCCGTGTTTCATTGGAGACGACTGCAACAGCACCGAGACGAATCCGCATTCGTGGACCAACCACGCGAACATGATCTGGCTCGACCAACCCACGGGCGTTGGGTTTTCGTACAGCGGGGGCCACGATGACGATCACACCGAAGTTGATGTGGGGCGCAACATTTATGAGTTCATGCAAGGTTTCCTCGACGCCCATCCGTCCCTTCGGCAAAACCCGTTTTACATTGCTGGGCAGAGCTACGGAGGGCACTACGTCCCTGCGGCGGCCGCGTATATCCTGGAAGCGGAGGCAAGGGCGCCCCCGAACGCAAGCACTCGCATCAATTTGCAAGGCATCTCGATCGGGAATGGGCTCACGGACACCGTGACGCAGTACCCCATGCTCGTCGAAATGGCCGTCGAAAACTCGTACAACATCACGTTGGTGTCCCCCGCGGAGCTGGTCCAAATGCAAAAGGACGCCGTCGAGCTGACAGCGCTCGTGGTCAAGTGCCAGCTCCCGAATCAAACGCAGGCATGCGAAGCCACGGACGAGTTCTGGGACGACAAGCTGCTCGAACCCATGATCCACAATCCAACGCGAAACCCGTACGATTTTCGCCAAGTGTGCGACGGCGACTGCGACGACCTTGGCAGCGCCAAAACCACGCGATTCCTCAATCAGCCGTGGGTAAAGGAGCATCTACACGTCCGCAAGCCGTACTCATGGAGCAACAACACGGTCTTGGACGACTTTTCTGTCGATGAAGAAAAGAACGCAGTGCACTTTGTTGCCACCGTCCTTGCCCGGGGACTGCGCGTACTCGTCTACGCAGGGGACGCGGATCTCATCTGCGATTGGAAGGGAAATGAAGCGTGGACCAAGAAGCTGTCATGGGCTGGACATGACGCGTTCAATGCGGCGGATGTCACGCCGCTCGTCGTCAATGGGGCAGTCGCCGGGAATGTCCGAACGGCCCACGGGCTAACGTTTGTGCGCGTGTTCAACTCGGGGCACTGCGTCCCCCGAGATCAACCTGTCGTGTCCGAGGCACTCATCCATCGATTCCTCCAGAATGAATTGGTGTAATGACAGGTTTCCTTTGCCGTGTGACGGCAGTGAGGGAGGCCGCAATGTCGTCCCCAAACAACGACCAGGCCATTCGCCCATAATAAGTCGTTTAGCGAACATCGTCGAATGCATTCTCGTCATGCTTTCGTTAACCCAAGCTCGAGTGTGATAAAAGCCCAAGGTACGATGCAGAAGCATGGCATCATCCTCGAGGGAAGGAAGATGGAGCGCTGGAAGGCTTGGTCAGCGTCAAACGCATTGGGTTTCGCATTCATGTCTGTTTGTCGATCAGCACGTCGTTGTCGGATTTGGCCAGCCGCCGTTCGGGAATACGGTCTGCCCAACGTTCCTGGATCATCGTCGAGAATGGTACAGAACCATGTCAAAAAATATTTATACAGGAGAAATAAATTTTCTTCAGAGTGAATTTGATATCGGTGGGAACTTTTGGACCATACTCTGTAGTAAATATTGTTGAGCGTGATGGAAGACAAACAATGTAGAACTCTAAACTTACAAAGAATATTCCAATACATTTAGTGGTTCAGTATTTAAAATAGCATCCACCAAATAAACTTCAAAGTTCAAGATAAAGTGATCAAAATTTTATGCATGTTTCACTGCCACCTATGATGCATTTTCTTCCTTGCTGGGGCAGCTTCAACGTGACCTCTGATTGCCGATCACCCCTACCTCGCTCGGTCAGCGCACGCTTCACTCATTCCACCACCATCCACGGCGAACCACCATGAGCTCTGAACAGGCCCCGCTCTTCCGCGTCGTGACCAAGCCACGCAAAGCCAAAACCAGCTCCAAAACATTGCTCTATGCTGTCGGCGCGCTAGGCGCGTTGGCGACGGTGGCGACTGTCTTGACGCACGAGACTGCGCGCGTGGCTCAAGTTCCAAGCGTGCAATTGGCGCTCGTGAACAACACTGTGTTCTGTGACACCACCAAGCAAGAGTCAGGGTACATTCAGCTCCCACACAAGGTGAATGACAACTACTTTTATTGGTTCTTCGAGTCTCGGTCGAACCCGGAGAAGGACCCGCTTGTGCTGTGGCTCACGGGCGGCCCTGGCTCGTCGTCGATCTTTGCCCTCTTGACTGAAAACGGCCCGTGCACAATTGACGCCAACCTGAACACAGTCTTGAACCCACACTCGTGGACGAACCACGCCAACGTGATTTGGCTGGATCAACCAACGGACGTTGGCTTTTCGTACGGCGACAACAAGGACGACGACCACAACGAAGTTGATGTCGGGCGCAACATCTACGCATTCCTTCAGGGATTCCTGAAGAAGCACCCCCAGTTCAAGTCCCATCCGTTCTTTATCACTGGCGAGAGCTATGGCGGGCACTACGTCCCGTCGGCGGCGTACTACATAGTGAATCAAGTGCCTGGGCAAGGGGAAGTCAAGATCAACTTGAAGGGTATCTCTGTTGGCAATGGCCTCACCGACAGCGTCATCCAAATCCCGTACACGGCGGATATGGTCGACAACGCGTACAACATCACGTTGGTGGCCCCGGACAAAGTGCCAGCGCTCAAGGCTGCCGCCGAGGCAGTCGGGAAGCTCGTCCGAGCGTGCCAGACCACAAAGAACGAAAACCAAACGTGTGTGCAGGCTCAGGAGAACTGGTACAACCTCGTCGTGGCGCCGCTCACGGAAACCTCCAAGCGAAACCCATACGACATCCGTGAGGACTGCACGAACGGGTGCATCGACTACATGCGGTACGGCGAGCGCTTCCTCAACTCGCCAGTCGTCCAGGCGAAGTTGCACGTCAACAAGATGTGGGTCGAGTCCACGTGGCGCGTGTACCAGGACTTTTCCGTCGACTTTATGAAGAGCTATGCCCAATATGTGCCCAACTTGTTGGCGAGTGGGGTGCGCGTCCTCATCTACGCCGGCGATGCCGACTTGATGTGCAATTGGATGGGGAACGAAGCGTGGACCAAGAAGCTCGAGTGGCCAGGAAAAGCTGCGTACAACGAGGCTCGCGTCAAGCCCTTCATGGTCAAGGGAAAGAAGGCCGGCGAAGTTCGATCGAGCCACGACTTGACCTTTGTCCGCGTCTACAACGCAGGACACATGGTCCCGATGGATCAGCCAGAGGTGTCGCTGGCGCTCATCAACCGTTTTTTCAACCATGTTCCGTTGGACAGGGACTTAGTTCATCGCAATTAGAGCTTTGCCGTGGTCTGGCAGAGTCATGTAACGCGCTCCTATTTCGGCTTTCGTGCACCCTCTTGTAGGACCAACCGCAGCAGCTCTCGGTCACGGTATCCGTTCCAATCTAGTCGAAAGGACTGCATGATCGCACCTCCATGTAAGAATTGCATCCCAACGCGACCACTAGCACGTTTCGGCTGGTTTTCCCACGTGCCGACTCCTATAAACGAACAAGGTGGACATTCGTGATGCCAGGCAGCTCGCGCAGCTTGGTCACAATTTCGTCGGTCGGGTCCGAGTCCAGCGAGAGCATGCCCATCGCTTGGAGTTTGTCAGGCTGTCGGCCAAGACCGAGGCTGGCAATATTAATCTTGCTCCTGGCGAGTTGGTCAAGCACGCCCGTGATGGCGCCAGGCCGGTCTTCGTTGTTGAAAAAGAGCATTGTGCCTTGGGGTTTGAAGGCCGGGAAGTCGTTGTACTCGTTGACTTGAACGATGCGCGGCTCTTCGCCAAAGACACTACCCATCACGACCGACTTGGTTCCGTTCTGAAGCTCTACTTGCACCAGGATGGCATTGTTCAGGTGCTGGATGTCTTGGTCTAGGTCATCCATGAGCCGGACATCGATGCCACGGCTCATTCCCACCACGCTCGCGTTGAGCAAGGTCAACGGTGGCGACTCATCGCCTCCGTCACGCTGGTGCAAAAGGCCTTTCATGACGGCGTTCTGAAGCGCCGACCGCGCTTTCGGCGTCGTGATGTCGATGTCGCGACCACCTTTGGTGGTAATTGTGACGTGGGCAATCGCCACTTGTCGAGGCAACATCTCGACAAGGAATCGACCGAGGGATTCACTGAGGGCCAGAAAAGGCTTCATCTCGGGCAGCAACGTCAGCGGCATGTACACGCCGTTCACGATGCCGACAAATGCCCGCTCGTCCAAGGTGGCGCACATGTTTTCCGCAATCATTTTGTACAACCGCGCAGGGAGGTTGGCCTTGGTGGACCCTGTCGCAGCCTTCAGCACGGACGAATGGCTCACGACGCTCGGCCAAGCATCTGCCGACGACAAATCGACGGCGACCCCACCAATGTGCCCCGACGTGAGCCCTGGAAGCAAAATCGACTCCTCGATCACGCCCTCCATTCCACCCACCGACACCAACGTCACACCAGGCTTGCATTGCGCAAGCGCCGCACTGTCAAACATGTTGCGGGTGAGCCCTGTGAGCGGCACGTGGAACGTCAGCACGTCCGCCTTGCCGTACAGGTCTGAAAGGCTCGAGCACTTTGTGACACCGAAGCTGGCCGCCTTCTCAGCCGCGATGTTCGGGTCGAACGCGTACACGTGCATGCCCATGGAGCAGGCAAGTTCCCCCACGCGTTGCCCGGTTTCGTTGAGTCCGACAATGCCCATCGACTTGCCTAACGCAACAGTTCAAAGTTCGGCAAATCCGACCAAGTGGGAAAATTACCTTGCAGTTCACGACCGAGGAACTCGTCGTGGCTGCCGTCGCCGTACTTTGTCGATGCCATTGCCTGTGGAATCTTGCGGGCAACTTGGATGAGCAAGCTCAGCACCATCTCGGCTTCCTCAGCCCCAGTGCCTGCCAGTTTGGTGCCAATATTTTGCACCATCACGCCTCGATTCGTCGCGGCGAGAAGGTTCACGTGGCCGGTCTGCGACCCGGGAATCCCGATTACTTTCAACCGCGTAGCGTGCGACAAGATCTCGTGCATTGGAAGCTTCGTCTGCGCGTCCGTGAGAAGCGCATCGTACTGGGCAAGAGACGACTGAAACGCCGGCAACGATTCGACCAAGTCCTGCGACGACACTTCGTCCACCGTAATTCCGTGTTGGAGAAATTCGTCAATGCAAACGGGGTTGCCCACGTCCAAACACAGTACACGCTTCCCGTTGTTGGAGAAGGCTGGTTTGTGTGTAGTCAGCGCGACCGCGACACCTCGACGCTGATGCTGTGCCGCCGCTGCTTGGAGCGTCGCTAGCCCACGATGCCACATGATGTAGTTTTGAGTGCTCAAGGATTTTGGTTGCCTTCCCCAGAAAAATCTTGGGGTTTGTCCGGAAAATATTTCCCTTCGTGTTCCAAAAGCACGATTAGTACTACTACTGTACTCCCTCCGATCCACTTTACTTGCCCGAGTTTGGGGACGGAAGACATGCCAAACAATATTATTACAAAGACAAAATCAAAATCTCACATCTCTCCCCAAAAAGCAAATTTCGCAACGCTGATTGGACCAAACAAAAGAGCGCGAAACAGGCTTC